CACATTACGCTCCTTATCCGCTTCTCACTTTACTGCCGTGTTAAGTATAGGGCGATACTTGGAAGAGCAGAGTACACGAGAGTCGCTTAAGCATAATGGCGTAGACACTGTTCTAATCTTCGGTTGAAGAAAATAACTGAGATTGCAAATCTGTAGAAATTTTGCGTGTGAGTAGTATGAAAGTTGCAGATCAAAAAATTTCCAGCCGAACGTGTCGGTATAAGAAAATGCAACCAAGAGTACTGGGTTTGAAGATAATTAGATTCCAAAAATCGAGAATACCTTACTATTAGCATTGAAATGTTTCAAAGTGTGTAGTAGTATTTGGGTGGGAAAACAACCAGTTGGAAGCAAGCCACGAACAAAACGGTTTGCGTAGATTTTATCTTTATTACGAAAGGCTACACATAGCACTCTGAAAAGTAAGCTTTTTGGAAGGCACCGGCTTGATCACATAACAGTGGCCTAGATGATAATGGAGAACGAGTGTTCCTAACTCACTTTCATTCAATCAAAAAACGCTCTACTAATGGGCAAAAACTAATTTTCATGCCCAAAATTCCGTTTAACACATTTTTTCCTTCTCCATCAAGATTCCTGCCAGACCCAGACCTATGGGAAGCCATACAGGGAACAACGTCGATATTTCATAGTATCGTAGCAGCTCCCCATGGATGAAAGATAAATCTGATATTCTTCTGAATGAGGTTTGCAAATTTTCAGGAACGAGAATTGTTCAAGCTTGCTCCAGCATTTATAGGGCATTTAGCTTGAAATTTGTAGTTAAAAGCTTGCGGAACTAAATTTCAGAAAATAGACATTGCGAGACCCATAAAAGTTCTAGGAAAAACTTTGATCAATGCATAATTTTATGAGAAGAGATTATCAGTAAATGACATAAACGTAGTAGCTCCCAGAGGCAGAAAGTTTGGTATTATTTTTGGGTTAATAGCATAGTTCTACCCTTTGACTCAGCGACCAATCTCGCTCGCGAAGCAGTCAGCGTCTCTCTTGTAGGCGCGCTCTCTAATTATCTTCTAGTCTTAATTAGGCCTCAAAGCCCCGCCTTCCAGCCGTTCATGTTCCCGTTGAATCAAAGGGTACGTATTTGTCATCGTAGAAAATGAGACTTTCAAATCTAGCATATTTGAGTTGTTGAAAATTGGAGTTCAGAATTTACTAAAACTGGTGCAATTTATAAACTTCAGCAAACAGTCCATTGTATTATGTGTAAAAATGCGTAAATGATTTCGTGACAAATGCGCTTGACTTTTGTTCGTAAAAAAGTGCCGTGAGCCGTGTATCGCTTTTTATGAGCCGTGTATCGCCGCTCTTGATTTGCTAATCTCCGCTTCGTGCTGACCTTTGTTCTCTATGTCGGAGAGATAGTATAAAATAGAAAGGGTGTCCATCGAGTTTCTTGTTTACTGCTACAAGAATTGCGCCAAAGTAGGTGAGTCTTCAAACTCGAATCACAAACACAAAAAAACTGAGAGTTATTGTCCAATTACGGTGTTTAGTGTAATCAGTTAATTTCACAGATCAGGATTCTTACTTACACTAGGTGACTTTAGGGTTCTCCTTGAACATTGACACAGAAAAATACAAGACACTTCGTTCTGAGTTTTGTTAAAGACACTTCATTCTGTGATTCAAAACTCTAACAGGTTCATTTCAATTCAGATCTGGCAGCTCATCATATTCACTTTTAGCACCAGCTGAAAATGTTTCCCAAATTGTCAATGCGAAGTAAATTTTGTCGTTACATTCTGCTATCCTACAAATCTTCCACCAAGTACATGAGATCTCTCTATAATTTACTGAAAGCTGACTTAGTGCAGATCCGATCAATTAGAAAATGCTTCTGAGACCAGCCATAAACTCGGAGAAGCAATATAATTTTTTATAACTCAATTTATTTGTTTATTTAACGCTTATTCAATATCTCAAAAGTGCACCGAAGTAACAAAAATGATGAGAAACTTTTGAGATTACTGCATTTTCAAAGGCTTTAGTGCTGAAGTATAATGCAAAGTCCCAAAATACACACTTTCTTCGTTTATCTCCGGAAAACTTTACAAACTTTGGTACAATATAGTTGGCGTGCATGTGAAAAATAGAAGGCTATGCACTATCATAGTTTTCAACTTCAGACAAGAGAATTGGTTATATTAGGTTGTCCCATAAGTCTTTTCATTTTTGTGTTTTCGCTATAATAAGTCACACACTTCTGATTCTAAATAAACATCAGGACACCATACGATAAAGCAAAGCAAGCTCTATAAGATGGTGTTTATGCTTTTGCACAAGCTTTGGTCCATCTCTAGTTTTAAATCAAAATTTAAAAAGTTTTGGATGGCCAGAAAACAGAAGAATTTTTATAACTCCGTTCAAAAAATTCCTACAAATTTCTAGCTCGCTCATGCATAAACATTTCACATCAGAAATTCATATGTGCTGTTGCTGTATTTTTTTTATCAGCTAGAAATCAAGAAATCGAAAATTTCCATGTTTTTACCAAAGTAATGCTGTGCTGTTCTTACACTAACATTTATATACTAGAAGCCATTAGAAGTACTACCTTAGATTTTTGGCTCTCTATATACTCTGGTTCACGAGAAATATCAAATTTAACTTTCTTTACACGGGTTTTTCACGCTTAAATAAACATTTCTCGGAAACCAGAGTTTATAGAGAGCTAAAAATTTACAGTTGTACTTCTTTGTTCTTGTAGAATACAACTGTTAGTGTAAGAGCAGCACAGCATTACTTTGGTAAAAACATAAAAATTTTCGGTTCCTTGATTTCTAGCTGGTAAAAAAACACAACAACAACACATCTGAATGTCTGATGTGGAATGTGTATGCGTGAGCGATTCGAACGGAGATATAAAAATTTTTCTGTTTTCTGGCCATCCGAAACTTTTTAGATTTTGATTTAAAATTCGAGATGGATCAAAGCTTGTGCAAAACCATAAACAACATCTTATAGAGCTTGCTTTGCTCTATCGAATGGTATCCTGATGTCTGTTTAGAATAAGTTGTGTGACTTATTATAGCGAAAACTCGAAAATGAAAATACTTATGGGGCAACCTAATAATAGATAAAAAGGTTTTTATCAGTAAAGGTACGAGCTTTACTTTTTTCTTTTCCTCTAAAAAAATCCTCGTTCTTCTTTTTCATTTTTTTCAGATTCTTGATGGATTTCAGGGGCATTGGTGATAATTTGCAGTCATTTAATCATGTTCAAGTTTTGAAATACAAAAATTTGGAACTTGATAGGAAATTTAAAAGAAATGCAGTATCTCAGAAAGTGAATTTCTCGTGTGTGACATGTATATATCGAAAAGCTGCGATTTCCAAGTACTAGGTTGTTCCGAAAGTCCTCTGTCCGATTTTCGTTTATGATTCAAATTGTTGTAACTTCTTTGAATTTTCTATTTTTGGATAATTTTACATTCATTAGACTGAACAAATTTTTGGCTACCCGTAGACACCGTGCCATACAAAAAACGCAATTAGGGGAAAAACGAGAATCCAAACCTTTTTACGAGTTTTCCTTCAAAACGAACTTCTACTAATCCGAATCCATGCAGTAGTTGTTGCACAAAAGTTTTGTGAGCAAAGAAAAAGCCGCTTTTTTGACTCGTTTTGCGCATGCCAAAATATGCTTCTTCTGGGAAAATTTTACATGTCGCAAACGAAAAGGGCTAACCAAAGGGCAGGACCTGCTTGCGTTTAGTCTACTCTAGCGTTCACAGTACTGGCGCTTGTAGAATGGTTAAGAAAGGCTTTGATCTTTTGACAACATAATTGGCAATCAAGACAGTTTTGATCTGCAGTCCTTCAAATGTTGTTCGCTTCAAACTTTCACTTGAATAGTTTCAGTCGCAGATAAGGAAAGTTATAGTTATTGTATATAAAACCTTCTTGGATATTGCTAAAATATGGCACCTTGCGCGCTTAGGCTCAAAAGTGCGGAATGAGGATTTTGACCAAAACAGTGAGCATGGAAAAGAGCAAGAAGAGGGCTTTCTAAGAGTATGAATATAATCAAAATATTTGCAAAGCTTCAAAAGAACTGCTGCATCAAACAAGAAGCAAGAAAAATCGGACAGATTTTGGAACAGGCTAGTAAATGGTAAGAAGATTTTTTCGTCCAATAGTAACAAACTTCCCCGTATCATACAGCAACGTCTATAAAAGAACACTACTGTACTCTCAGCTTCAAAACTTTCTCTTTCAAAATAAAGTCATATTCAGGTTGTCTCAAAACGTTTTTGTCGTCTTAGAAAAGATGTCATTCGATAGAGCAAAGCGAGCTCTACCTACTAACCATCATGAATCCTCCTAGCTCGTTATCCATCAAAGTTTGAAGCCAAAAACTAAAATTCTCAACTACCTTAAAGATCAGATCTGCTTCGAAAAATTTCTACGAACCTCCAACTTGGACTTCTACAATAGACACACAGCGATACTCATAAAAGTATTTGCTGGATTTTTTTCGCTGCTTGAATTCAATGAACAAAATAGTTTGTGAAGGCGAAAAATGCCACTTTCTTTGGGTTTTTCTATATTGCACTTAGTAGTTCTCGCTCTACCACAAATAGAGGTATAATTTTGAAATTACACTTTCTAAGGCTAGCACAATAATCACATAAGTGAAGGAGCTGAGGCGTACGCAAAGAAAATCTAGCAAATGCATTATGAATACTCCTATGTATCTTTGCATGATAACCATTTTGGAGCCTCGTACTTTTCGAAAAAATACCTTGGGTGATAAATTTTTTGGCTCCAAACATTACTAGGATTACGCTTCAAGATACTTTATCGAGTGATACCCCAAGTCTGCTGGGAAAGCAAAAACAGTTCGATTTATTTGGAAATATGTTTTACTTTTGGGACAACCTATGTCCGATTGTAAGGTACATGGGACGATATCTTTTCGCTTAATGCTTATTTTGACAAAAAAATGTTCACTGTACTGAAGCTCTTTTAGAATGTTGCTCTATCTTAATCTCGAATTACAAAGTAGTTGAAATATTAGATAAGAGCTGTTAATATTAATTTCGCTATCGAATCTGTTTTTTTAGAGGTAGTGCTACCCAAGCAAATCCAAGCCACTGCAATGCTTACGATAGCCAGAGAACAAATTATCAGAGTGAGTTTTTTTCCTGTTGAATCTTTTCACTTCAAAAATCCAATGTATTCCCAAACCTTTGAACCTCTTTTAGTGCATCGAGGAGATTTATGAACACTACAAAGATGAGATGATATGGATTGAGTTCGACTTGAAAGTACACCCCTCACCTAGCATCCATGATAGAATCAAACAATTGGAAACAATAGAAGTATCTCATGGGATAATCTACGTTATGCAAGTCATTGCTGCTATGGAGGTAAGCGAATTGCTGGGCTTTTGATACTTACAGTAGCATTTTCCAAACATTTAGTTATTCGCTTTCTGCGAATCTTGTAATTACTGCCTATCAAAAAGAATGTGTTTACAGCCTGTGCGGCAAGCAGGCAATAACAACATTGACGAAGGAAGGAAACTGGGAGAAGCAGATTACGAAACGTATTTTTATGATGTCTACAAAAGAATATTAAACGTAGACGATGCAATGTATAGGATTTTGGTCAACTTTATAACAGCTCTACTTATTCAGGTAGCGGTACGCCGTAGAAAAATTATATAAAGTGTAGTCTATGATTATAGGTGTACGATTCTGACAACTGGAGTAAACTCTATACAGATACAGAAGAAGGACGAAAGATTGGAGAAGAAAAGTATAAAGTAGACACCGAGTCGATAAGAGGTAAGAAGAAACGGGTAATTTGTCACATCGTGCTTACGCTTTATGATTGCAGAGTTTCTGGAGTATCGCCTCAACCGTCATTATTTAGAGAATATCAACATTACCATGTAAGTCTTGGACAGTTCTTTTAGGATGTCTAAAAACTGATTTTGCATCCAAGGGTGTAAACAAAGTTTCCTGGGTATAATTTGATAGAACAGAGCAATCTTTACAAATTCGGACATCATTCAACCTCTGATCCACGTGAATGAAGCCAAAGTGTAAAAAATTTCACATACTGAAACTATGATCATCCTTTGAATAATTCCTACAAACTTTCAGTTCGCTTGCGCATGTACTGCACATATCGACCTCAACATATGCAGTTGGTTAATTTTTCCCGTGGCTAAAGCTAAAATGCGAAAAACAAATTAGGCCAATATAAGAAAATGTAGCAGTTTGAGTTTCTCGAGCTTTCGATATTTTCTCCGAAAGCGAAAGCTCAAGGAAACTGAGATCATGGTGTACCTCCAATCTGAATTGCAAAATTACCTAACTATGAGAAGCCCAAGATTAATTTGACAAAGGTATGCCAAAGTTTGTTTTCTCGATTTCTAGCCATTGAATTCCGCGAAATGGTGCATACAAATGTGAATGTATGCGTAAACAAGCTGGGAGGTTTTTCCAAAGGCGATATGTTTTTTCAATTTCTTACAAATCCAAAATTTTTCAATCCTGATCAAAACCACCACTTGAACCAAATATGATGCGAATGTTTGAATTCCAGCTTGTGCTTGTTTTGCTCTATCGAAAGAGCTTTCGCGATATTACATAATAGCACCTGATGTGACATCATTTTCCGGACCATATCGTTTTCATTGTCACGTACTGTTAAAGCAACAATATTTAAAATTTTGTGCAGTAAACTAGCCCAATCTCTATGGTTGAAACATCGCTACAAAATGTGCCTATGTTTCGCAGAGCATTAATTTTCCAGCTCATTTCACAAAATTCTGGTCGATCAACCCAATGTAACACCTAACCCCTTATCCTGAAACCTAGAATTTTTTTGCACTTAAAAATGCTATATTCTTTACAACTAAATTTATAGAGAAGATGATTGCTGTTTTTATTGTAAGCAACGGTACATTATGCTTTCAGTCGCAAAAGTGTCAGAACGGCTTGATCTGATGCAGCTTTTCTGTTTCGGACAGAATAAAACTTTTATCAGTGATGACTTTGTTTGCAAGAATCAGCCTATATGCATTTTTCGCATCCAAGCTCTTATGAAAAAAGAGTTTTCTGCATTTTACCATATAAGCTCGGAAAAAGACGAACAGGTATGATTATCAAAGAATAAACATTTCAGGCCGTAGCATAAGTTTTGTTACACTTTTTTCATTTTCGCTGAAAAATGCAGGAAGTTAAGTAAAACCTAATATTTGGGACTTGTGGGGAATGAATTTATGACTATCCATTGGCATCATTTTCACAAAACGTCTAAGCTTTTATAACTCAAACTGGAATTGCTAAAAATAATCCAAAATTTTTTTCGAATATTGAAAAAGAGGAAATTTCGTGCGTGACATGTATCTATCGGAAAGTTATAATCCTTCACGTGAATCTGAAGGTGAAGAAAAATCTTCTGATAATAATATGAAGATTTTTTCGTTCAAGTGTAACAGAATTTATGTTACGACCTTAGTACATATAAGTGATGATGAAGGCTTTCAAAGAGCATGTGAAGTTGGTTGCAAGAACCGCACCACCGGGAAAAAAGTTTTCCAACAATTTTTTCTTATTTTTGCGTCAACTTTATATTGCTTCCGTATTTTTCACGGTGACCTTTTTGACTGACACAGTAAACTTTTTTTTCGATTAATCGTGCGAATTGATGCATGTTGCAGCTCAGCACAAACTCTCAATATACATCATAATTTTACTTCTTGCAGAAGAAAAAGCATCTGACCTACTATGTAATTTGATATGTATTTTACAGAGCAAAGTTCCGAGATACTGCTACGGTATTACAGCAACAACGTTACAAAGAGTTGAGAGCGCAAGAATCTGATGTCGTCTTCGCCCACTAAACAGTGGTGAATGAATTTGTATTTGGATTGGAGAAGGTCGCTAGGGGCAAAGCGCAGCACCCTCAGCTCTCAGTTTCATCTTACGCATGTTTTTTTTCGCTTTTTTCCTTGACTGCTAGATTCGCGTAATAAAAATCATATCTATTTATGTTTTGAGCGTATGTGGGTATCTCGCTTTTTCGGAATAAAAGTGAGACAAGAGAGTCTCTTACTCAGACTTAACATTTCGAGATGGTCCATGAGTGTCCTGTTACAAACGGTTATGTCGTCCTGCTATCCTTCCGTTGTGAGAATTCAGTCCGAAGACGTTAGGTTGTCCGGAAATTAATGCAGGTCTTGAATTCCAACCGCAATAAGTCAAACACTTTTCATTTCTGAGTAGGTTGCAATAACAACCTGTTTTGTGGTTTTTAATACGAAAAAGAATTTGATAAATACTAATTAGGAACGCAAGAAATTCAATTTCTTTTTGTTCATTTTCTACACTATCCGGTTTCGGGGCTTAGAACTATACCGGTAGTGCGGCTTCCTTGGTGCCCCTCGTCAGTAGTTCCCAAGGAAGCTTCAAAATTATCAAATGAAAATCTAAGATGAGGTCTAAGACAGAAAATGGCGTATAAAGAATTTGAGTAAAGAAGGTGCAAGTTTCGTTAACATGTACGTATACGACAAAATAAATGGCAAGTGTCATCCGAGGAAATAGCGACCTCTTTTTCAAACTGGAGTACTCCCGCCGTGACCTCAGAGCGCGCTAGCGTGAGCCCAAGTGTCATGTAGGTCATGTAAAAGAGGCAAATGTATGTTACTAGGAACTCCGTACTTACGCATTATAAATGGTATATCGAATAGTATATGATAAAGTTTACTAATAAAAATACGATTTTCCCATCCATTAGTTTTAAAGTCTTAGCTAGTTCTATTACTCTTTCCTTAAAATGTGCATAATTAAAGCAATTTCTATAAATTCTAAGAATTTCTGAAGTGCAAGTATTGTACAATATATATCTGGGAATATTAGACTCCCAATGTGGATATCTAAATACTTTGAAATTATAGTCATCTGTCTTATTATACATATTAAACTCAATTTTATTATTGGAAATTTTGAGAGTAAGGTCTAGAAAATTTGTTTTTGTCAAGCTAAAGTTAGTTTTCTCTATTTGTAAAGAAGGATGATAGATTTCTCTTGAAGTTCTTTCGAAATGCGATGCATCTTTAGAGACATGTAATATGTCATCTATATATCTGTAAGTGTGATTGTACAAGTTAGTGCTATGACTCAGAGTTCTTGTCTGTCTTTTTAAAAACTCAAATTCCATGTATGATAGAGTAAGGTCTGCTATCTGTGGGCTACGGCTCTGTGGGCTGATAATCAGCACCTTCGTATCCCCTATACCAACTCCTAGCTCAAAATTTTCAAAAATTGCTGAAATCGATAAAATAGATTTCGGTTTCAATCGGCATCCTCATTTCCCCCCCCCCTCCTCCTCCCTTGTACCAACTCCCATTCTGGTAGCTCACGATTTTCCAAAAATCGACAAAATCGATAAAGTAAATTTTTATTCATAATCAGCATCCTCACGTACCCCCTTGTACCAGCTCCCAGCTCCGTATCTCAAATTCTCCAAAAATCGATAAAATCGATAAGAAAGTTTTTATCCATAATCAGCATCCTCATTTACACCTCTGTTCCAACTCCCAAGCTCGTAGCTCAAACTTCTCCAAAAATCAATAAAGTGTTCACCTAACTAGGTGTTCGAATTCATAGCGCTAAGTGTGCGATCTTTTGAAGCAGTAACGGTTGTCGCATATCTTTTGAAGCAGTAACGGTTGTCACATATGTACTCAAACGCCAAAAATGCTACGATACATTGCCTGTTTATCGGAAACTTTCGTCTTGTGTGGTATAAGCTAGTCGTGGACAAAGGCATGTGGATTATTCCGCGAAGCGAGCACATGTAGCTATAGCCCCGGGCATACTGCAGGCATTTCAGTGGCGACGTGGTTTGGCAATCGTCAAATTGTTCAAAACTTATTTTAAAAGCACAGAATGCACATTTGATGGTATGATCTAAACATATGATCTAAACATTTGTGGTAAGGTGGCGTTACATTTGAAGACATCTCGTAACTGACAAATCGCTTACGACGATCTAAGGCTGCGTTCATACTGATTCCCATGTTCTGGAACTGTTCCCGCACAGTTCTCGCACTGTGCTGAAACTGTGCGGGAACTGTGCGGGAACAGTTCCAGAACTGTGCTGCATGCGCTGCAGCCGCCCCGCACCGTTTTGAACGGCGGGAGTTGGAAAATTTTGACCATTCTCAACGGTTTTTCTTCCAGATTTCGCTCATTTTGGCCTTAATCCTCCACCCCGCTTCTCTTTTTGATCAGCAGCACTGCGAACTCGAAGCGGTGTTGAAGAATGAGCGCTTTTCTGCGCCGTGTATTCGGAAAGATGGGCTATCGTGCGATTGTTCATTCTGTCTTCTTGTTTTTTGCTCAAAACTACTTCATTTGTTCCAGGAAGCGGCTGCCCAGTTTCCATAGCCATCTGCCACGAATTAGGGAGTAGGAGAAATCCTGAAATTGCATGAGTTGGGACTTGTCTCTTGTTTTTCATGATTTTGGGCGTTCTTAGCCTTGTTCGTTTTTCCATGTCGTTGCTTCTCCGTTCTTTCTTCTACCCCGCTTCTCCTAGTGATGAGAAAAGCTGTGAATTTGAAGCGGGGTTGAGGATTGAACGCTGTTCTGCTCGATGTATCCGGGAATATGGGCCTTCGTGCGCTCGTCCATTCTCTCATCGCTATTTTTTTGTTCAGACCTACTTCATGTGTTCTAGAGACTTGTCTATTTCAATTTTAAGACGATGCGAGACTACGCAGCGACTTGTTAGTACAAATGAATAGGTCTGAACAAAAATAGCGATGAGAGAATGGACGAGCGCACGAAGGCCCATATTCCCGGATACATGGAGCAGAACAGCGTTCAATCCTCAACCCCGCTTCAAATTCACAGCTTTTCTCATCACTAGGAGAAGCGGGGTAGAAGAAAGAACGGAGAAGCAACGACATGGAAAAACGAACAAGGCTAAGAACGCCTAAAATCATGAAAAACAAGAGACAAGTCCCAACTCATGCAATTTCAGGATTTCTCCTACTCCCTAATTCGTGGCAGATGGCTATGGAAACTGGGCAGCCGCTTCCTGGAACAAATGAAGTAATTTTGAGCAAAAAACAAGAAGACAGAATGAACAATCGCACGATAGCCCATCTTTCCGAATACACGGCGCAGAAAAGCGCTCATTCTTCAACCCCGCTTCGAGTTCGCAGTGCTGCTGATCAAAAAGGGAAGCGGGGTGGAGGATTAAGGCCAAAATGAGCGAATTCTGGAAGAAAAACCGTTGAGAACGGTCAAATTCTCCAACTCCCGCCGTTCAAAACGGTGCGGGGCGGCTGCAGCGCATGCAGCACAGTTCTGGAACTGTTCCCGCACAGTTCCCGCACAGTTTCAGCACAGTGCGAGAACTGTGCGGGAACAGTTCCAGAACATGGGAATCAGTATGAACGCAGCCTAAACCGTCTAATCCTGCACTACAACTGCGATGTCCTTTACTCAATATACACCAATTCGCAAAAAATCTCTAAGGTAGCGAATAAAGGCAGTTGTGCAATATAACTTATGCAAGCAAGAGTGCTCACTAGTGTGGGCATTGCGTACCGCAAGCATGAGCAATGCAAAGAAAGAAGAACAGGCATTTCAAAACACTTTCAATATATGAACTCGGAACATGAGCTTGAATTTGATAGCTTCTTTGCTGATTTGGTGCCAATAGCAGTGCGAAAAATCTCACTGATCGAGAAATCATAAATTAAAATCAACATACGATTTTTTTTTACTGTCGCAAGCAGTCGAAGAATGCGATTCTCGTACAGTTCAATGGTAACGGTTGCAAAAGATGCATTACAGAATTTTGCGGAAAAAACGCGGACGAAGTGAGCTCGATCCTCAGCAGTTGGCTCTGCAACAAAGTCAAATAATCAGAATACGGAGTTCATTCGAATACGAATTCGAATAAACATTCGAATAAAACATTCGAATAAAATCTCTTCGAAACCCCGTTTTTTGATTATTCGAGTTTTCGAATAATATTCGAACCCTCGTTTTTTGATTATTCGAGTTTTCGAATTTTATTCCAAACTCTGTTTATTGATTATTCGAGTTTCGAATTTTATTCGAATCCTCGTTTTTTCACTTATTCGAGTTTCGAATATTATTCGAAAATGGAAGAACTCCAAATATCGAATTTCGACGAATGTTATTCGAATATTCGAATGTTTTATTCGAATGACCAAATTTCTATTCGATTCAGACCCAAGTATAGTCGCTAGGAACAAAGCGCAGCCCCCTCAGCTCTCAGTTTCATCTTACGCATGTTTTTTTTCGCTTTTTTCCTTGACTGCTAGTTGTGTTTTAATAGGATTCCCATATAGAGTTGACATTTTTTGTTGTTGAGCGATTCCTTGTACTATTATGTTTCTTCCAAATTCTGATTTCAAGAAACGTAGAAAAACTATGTAGATAGGCTATATGTGACGTGAAATTACACTGAAACAATACTTATCTGCAAATTACTCGCCAATAAGTATGTACGAGCAAGACTATCTAAACTTTATCCTTTCTTCAAGTTTACCCAAACTTACAGTTGGAAAAATGGCATAGCACTATGAAAAACCGCACAACGGGAATAACAACTTTCACATACAATGCTAAAACTCAAGAAACAGCATCAACACGGAAAAAAAGAAAGAAAAACGTGTAAGATTGAATTGTCGGCTAAGGGTGCCGCGCTTTACCGCAGCCGGCTTGCTCCAGTTTTTGATCTCGAATTCATCAACTAGGCGATAGTGCTGTGAGGATGACTATTTCAGTAAAAGATGAAACCCCCATCTAAAACCGGAATGGCTGTTAGCTAAATAAGAGCTGACCCAGCTTCTGA